TGAGGTTCACGTGCTTGCCGACACGCTAGTCCCCGTTGTGTCGACCAACACTTGGTGGTTCGGCGACTAAGAGGTGTTGCACGAATCTCATCCAACAATTGGACACCGCAAGAACCTACCCACAAGTGAGGTAACTTAATGACACGAGCAATTTACTAGAGCTACCTTATGGCTCTTCGCCGAAAAAGGTGCAAGACCCCTCACAATCACCGGAGCCGGCCATGAACAATCAACAACACATGCCAAAGCTCATCCGCTACTCCAAGCCATCTAGGTGGCGGCAACCACCAAGAGAAATAAGAAATCCGCAGCCACAACTATCTCCAAGTGTCACTAGATGCAATCACTCAAGCAAATGCACTTGGAATCACTCCTAATCTCACTATGATGGCGAATCAATGATGGAGATGAGTGGGACGTGTTTGCCTAGGCTCACAAGGATGTCAAGTATGTCAAAGTGCCAAGAGAGTGAGCCCCAAGCCGGCCAAACCCCTTTTATAGAGCTCCCCAAACGAATAGAGCCATTAGGGACAAAGGGGAGCTTTCTGCATGCTGACAGGATGCACCGGTTAGGTTGATTGGACACGCCCACACCAGTGTCCGATCGCTAATCCATTGCCACGTGTCCTTGTTTTGAACGTGTGCTGCTCATCTCCAACGGCTACTAGACAACGCACTCGAGGGTTAAGTCATGACCGGACACGACGCTGGAGTTAGGTCTAGCGTCCGGTCCTTCATCGGCCCTCTCGGCCAATCAGCGCGCCACCTCTATTATTGACCTAACGCACCCAGGGTGAGTCTGGTCACCCCGGCACCAGCGTCCGGTCATGCACCTTTGCCACCTTTTCATTTTCTAAGTCCGCAACCACTTTACCCTTGTTTCCAAGTTGCTAACCACAGAGTGTAGAACTTGTGTGCACGTGAGTTAGCATTTTTCAAGGCATTTTACAAGGGTCAAAGTTAGCACACTACGTTCATAAATGCATATGTAAGAATCATGTCACCTAGTAGCACTCGATAACCGCTTAGCCAAAGATTTTCCCTCTTTATAGTATAGCTATCGATCCTAGGTGCACTTACACCCTCTATGGTGTCTTAAGTGACAAAACAAAAACCTATCTTATACCTTTGCCTTGATCTCCTTAGTTTTTGTTTTTCTCTTTCTTCTTTTCTAAATATGAAGCACTTGATCATCTTTTGGTCATCATCATCCACCATGATCATCCTCTTGCTCCACCACTTGTCATGGGCTTTCACTGGCTAGTAATTGATATGTTTAGTTGTCTGGTTTGCTTTGTATAAAGTGAAAGGACCTTGATGTCACCTAGAGGGGGGGTGAATAGGCTCTTCTAAAAATTAACAACAAATAAAACTTGCAGCGGATTAGTAGAGTGCGCGGCACTGCTGCTTCGTCGCACGGCACTGCCGCACTACAGCACTGCCTTGCTAAGAATGCGGCACTGTCGCGCCTGCGTAGAGAGCTTCAACAGCAGCTACGCCTAAAACCCAAACTTGGAGATGTGCATGGAGATGTCCAGTGGTAAGTCCACTAAGTACCTGCACTCATAAACATGCACAACCAAGTAGATCGAGTGGAACACGGATAATGCAATTCAAAACATAAAGGAGACAAGACACAAGATTTATCCCGTGGTTCAGCTCGCCACCAAGGCTTGCCTATGTCTACATTATTGAGGAAGCCACTAAGGCTTAGGCTTTACAACCCTTATCCTCGTTCTCAAGTCAAGAGAGTGAACTCTTGAGATGAGGGGTTTCCACTAGATCAATGGGGTGATTAACAAACTGTCCCGCGGTTCACCACAAGCACGGAAGCTCGCCGGGCGACGCCTAGCCGTCTAGGAGGCTTCACCTTTAAGAGTAACAAATGCACAACGAAGATTGACGAAGCCCAACAAGTGCTCAAGAATTGGCTTGCTCTTAATTTCTAACACTTAATCAATCACTAATCACTTACTCTCAAAATGAGAGGGGTTAAAGAGAGCTTACAAATAGCTTGGGAAGGGTTTGGAATGGTTGGAGCATCAACAACAACACTAGGAGGCGTGGGATGGGTATTTATAGTCACCCCACACAAGCTAGCCGTTGCAGTTCGGAAACTAGCTATTATGACTTGTACAAGTGCGGCATTGCCGCGGCAACTCGCAACACTGCCGCAGCTCCCAGAAACAGCACAGGTCACCTCACAGAAAATGCCATAACTTTTTACTCTGAACTCCATTTTCAGTGATCTTGGACTTTTCGGAAAGCTTGTTTTGATGGCTATCCAACCCAGCAGAGAACAAGCCCTAAGATCAATAAGTACAAGTGTTGTGCTAATGTGTTTCTCTCATGTTAGCACTTGGGTTTGGTTAGTTTGAGCACTTGAGACTTGTCTATGATTCGTATTGCATCCCCCTTGATAGTACGTCATACCTATACTCAAGATCAAGAGAATATAACCATTTTAACCACTTGAGTCTTCAATGTCTTCATATGTCATTTCTTCTCAATATCACTTCATAAGGGGTTGCAATCATCTTTATCTCATCTATTCGAGCAAACACACCTTGAGCATGTGACTTGAACTATTTCCATACATATGAGTTCACCTCAATGGCTTCAAGTCACTTTCATTAATGATTTGATCCTCAACACAATAGAACTCCTCATAGCTTGATTAGTTCTTTGACTCAATGCAAGTACTCTCTTCTTCACCTTAGCCATGGTACCTCGGTACTCAAGCCATCGCTTGCCCTTCACCTTCGCTTAGTCCCTCGAAGCCCTTTACTTGCTATCTTCACCTTATCAAGCCATACTCAAGTCACATCATATTAAGCATCCATTGAAAAATCATTTCTTCAATAGTATGATCCTTGCTTGAATATCTTCTAGATATGAATGTTGAGATCAATCAAGCTTTAGTTTGATTCACATAAAGACATATATGAATCAACATCAATATGGTCAAGCCAATTCACGATTCCTTATATCCTCTTCATCTTGGTTTAACACTCCTAACACTCACTTTAATATCTATCTTCATACTTCTAGCTTGATCAAAGCAATGCAAAGTGATTTTCCAAATCTTTATCCATACAAGCAAACCAACATAGAGACCGACTTATATCCAATATGAGTTGTGTCCTTTGTCATTTAAATCTTTGCTTGGTATTTCTTCACTTATGCATTCTTGACTCATTCTTCAATCCTTGATCAAAGCTAATCCACTATCAAACTCTTCTTGTTCATGCAAAGCAAGCCATTATTGAGACCAATCCAAAATCATCAACTCATGTCTCTTTTAACATTTGCCAAATATGCTTGCTTTCTCATGATACTATGATATTCCTTAACATAGAAGTCATTTCATCAACTCCATTTGCATTGTTGTCTTTCTCTTGAACTATATTGTTTCCGTGATCTTCCAACACAACAATACACAATTTTGACCTTGATTTGAACATTATGTGGAATATCATCAAGTTTGCCTTCTTATTGAACCTATATACACTTCTCATTCCACAATCTATAAGTGTATGTAATAAACTCAATTTCCTGTTCAATACTTAGCAAACTTGTAAGACCATTAGATTGGGAGAAAAAATCAAGGTAATCTCCGTCGACGTCGTCGTATTATTGCGTGCTAGGGTTCTTCGCTGGTTCTAGACACGCCGATGGGTTCCCAACTGTGATTTCCATGAGTTTTGGATTGTGTGGCCGCATTTCGCGTCCTCTCCCAATCGCGTCCCCGCCACAGCGTTTCCTCTACCTCCACGCCGCGGCCCTCCTCCGCGGCTTTTGCGCTCCTTTCCATCTCCATCCGATACGGGGCGATCGGGCCGCCGTTGTTCTTCTCCACTCTGTCGTGCCGCCCTTCTACTCGTGGCGTAGACGAATCTCAACCCTAGTGCGTTGAAGGCAGGTCTGCACCGGCCTGGTAGCACCGTCTCGTTGAGCTCTCTCTAGAGGGGATAAGCAGGTGAGGCAAAGCCGCCAAATTTTACATATGACAATCGTACTTTTGTACGCCGCAGGTATGCTGGTGGCCAGGTAGTGGCAAGTTATTGTGGACCAGTAGGGGTAATAGGGCCTTCTGGCCAGCCCTGGAGTTGTCACTGAGAGTAAACCTCAGCTTAAGAGTTGATGAGATTAATAATTTGATGTTATAGCACCATGCAGGTATTTACCTGTAATTCGGGGATGTGTTTGAAATGTGTTCTGAGTAAATCAATTGCATTGCTTGATGTTACCGATACAACATAGTGGCTGATTTGGGAAAATTTGAAAGATAGGTTATGTTGTTTTGAATTGTTTTAAGTAAAGTACATAAGGCATTTGTAACAACTAGATAGTATATTGCACTTCAAAATTAGGCAAGCTGCTAGCCTGCTACATGCTTGATATGCTCAATGCTAACTGTTTTTGTCTTGAATTAGTCCTCAATCCTATCTGGTTAGGATTAACTTTTTTCTGAAAATCATTATTTTTAAAGAAAGCATTCACCTAGTTCAGTTGAATGTCCCGCTTCTGTTGTTTTTGGTATCTGACTAGCTGTATCCAGTCCAACTGTTGCGATCTTGTCCTACACCCATACTTCTAATCACACCATCCCCTAGTCTACCTGCTTCCAAGTCCCAACCTTCCTTTTTTTTCTCTGCTTTCACCTGCTATTCTATTCATGACTATATTGCCATGAGCTGCCTCACTATCCCCGGTGTCACTACCATGCTATCATCGTCAAAGTCCCGTGTCCCCATTGTTAGAGCCATGCCAGTTTTCAAGGTCTTTTGATGTGTAACGGTTGTGCTTCCCAAATCCCAATCAAGCTTTTGCATGTTCTTATTGCTTATTGGTTTTACTTTCTTGTTTATATAGGTAATGTTCTCATTATAGTGTTAATGCTTGTTTTGTAAAGTGACCATTGGAAAAAATGTTGAATCTTAAGTTTCCATGCACAGGTGAAGGGGCAAGTTTCTGCAACTTAAATAACTAGAGTGAATATGGCTGACATGAATTTTGATGAGATTCTTGAGGTTCCTGACACTCCTGACCAACAGCAGTCAAAATACCATGTTTCCAGCTCTATTGTTGGGAGGGATGATACAATGGCAGCTTCTAATCCATCACCAGTGCGCAAACTTAGAATTAGATTCAAGAACAATTCCCTGCATGGTTCAAGTCAAAATAATGCTTGTAGTGTATTGCCTGCAGCTTCAGATACTGATCATATTTTCAAACAAGCTGAAGCAGCACAGATTCTGGAACTGTCAAAAGACTATAATGCAAAAATTTCCCTAAAGAAATCTGTCAGGACAGGGATATCTGTTGACAATGAAAAGAGGGCTGAAAAACATGGCTTGGATCAGAGCAGAAGCATTTCGAACAACATAAGTTGTAGTGTGACTGGAGGAAGGAAACCTACCTTCCAAGCTAAAGATGGAGAGGTTGTTCAGCAAGATGCAGGTCATCAGAATGCAAACTTTCTAGGCATAGGATCAGGTCTTCCTACTATCCCAGTGGGAAAACCAGGAAACAGAACATGCACTAGCACTACTGATAAGCTGAAAGGTGTAACAGGTGCTGATGTTTGTCCAGGATCAAGTTCTGGGGAGATCAAAGGGGAAGTGATCACTAACAAGGTCATTGCAGGACCTACAAGCCCTCTGTGTGTTGTTCCTCGAAGGCATGTTGGCCAAAAAAGGCTGGTCCGCAATGGATGTATTTCTCCCTCTAACATAGCCAAGAGAAATGTAAAAGTTGATGAAAAACGGGAAATGTGCTCTTCAAGTGAACATTTGCACCATCCACATCCTCAGCTTGATGCATTTGACAGAAGCAATGTGATTGACCTCACTGATAATTCACCAATAATGACAAGGCAGAGATCTAAAGTGAATAATAAATTAATCCCTGGACACAATATGGACACAAGGGCCACAAAAAAACTGAGAACAGACAACTGGCAGGACTTCGGTTCCACTGTCCAAATATCATGCAAACAGCAGCAATTGTTCTGAAGCTAATTTATCAGGCCGCAACAACAAAGGAAAAGGAATTAGCAGTGATATCTTGGATAGTGATCAAATTGGAGAAGCTAATTTGAGGGGGTATGTTCTATCTGTTCTCATAAAAGGTGTCTTACTTCATCTCTTTTATGACTGGAATAACTAGTTCATTTCATGCTATACTAATTCATTTGAGTATGGTCTTCTCTTCTAAAAGATTAAAACATGGCAATATGGCTTATGTAAGAAATGGTAGTTGAATGAACTGATATAATTACAGTACAGTTAGCTTGATGGACATGGATTACGTTGAAACCCAACTGATTACTTTAGAAGGCATTTTTTTTGCCCACTCGACTTTGTTTAGCAAGATACCTTATATTTCATATGAAATGAATACTTTGTTTTTTTCTGGTCACAATACTGTTGGAGAAGCAACATGTGGTATGTCTTACTGCTACCTCTGTTGTTGCAGGGTTGATCTTAGTACTGCTGGAACTTATGTAAACAAAAACAGTTCTGATATAAACGTGGAGCAAGGTTGGAGAACAACACACAACCACACAAGTAAATTACCCATTTCGTCTATGGGTAACGCAACTAGTAGTTCCAGACGAGACTCTGGATCTTCCATGCGATCTAATCAAAACCATGGATCTGCTGGAGGCAATCATAGCTCAGTTAGTGGAGCAACCATGATGGTTCCTGATAGGTTAGGGAATAAAACAATAATGATTCGTAAAGGATGGAGAAAAGAAACCTCAACTTCTTCTCATACCGGTGAAAGCTCTAGTGCTGTTGACGAACCTAGAGGTTCTCTTCAATCGTCAAAAATATCAGCTGGCAGAAATCATACCAGTCATCAGCATAATATTCCTGTAATAACCATAGATGACATATCCCCTGAAGCTAGACCGAGTTCGAGTGGATTCACTAATGGAACCTCTGTTGATCCTAACATAGAAGCACAATTGGAGTCGGATGAGTTATTGGCTCGCCAACTCCAGGAGCAGCTTTACAATGAATCTCCTCGTTTTGCCCCAACAGAAGAGGTAATTTCTCATCATCTCTCTCTTAAGTACTCCATTCAACATCTTGATGATTAGAAAACAGTCAGATTCTCAGTTTTCCATAAAACAGATTAATGCAATCGTAGCAATGTCACTTCAACATGAAGAAGATACACATCAGACATCTAGGCCTGTAAGGAGGTTCCAAAACAATATTGTGAGAGCACTGAACTCATTTTATGTTTTGCATATGTGTGAGCTAATGACCAGTAGCTCTTATAGCTTTTCTTGCAATACAAGATCTGAATATGAAGTTAATATTTTTTAATATTAAAAACAAGAAATATGCTAACCAAATCTTGCAGAAAGAAAGTATTCTTTATGAAAAAATCCTTTGCTGTGCTGTCTCTATTGAAATTGACATGTTTAATCCTTTTTTATATTATAGAGAGATGCCCGGGCTTCTCGTTTGAGTTCTTATTGAAATGCTCTTAGGGCTCGATTGGCGACAACAAACGATATGATTTCCCGTCTGCAGAATACTGCTCCAATAACACTGGGATTGGTATTAATTCTCCCTTGCCCTTTTTTGTTTTTACTATGAATAATTGAATATCAGTAAAAGAACTTTTTCTGGGTTTCTTTAGACCAACCAACATGTTATTCAGCTTCAATGCATTCAAATCATATGGCAACATTATACAACTTTTTTAGGCTTCCAGTTGTTATTTTTTGAAAGGCCGTATTACTACATTATTAATATACATTGGAATTTGATTGGTTAAATACTGGATCAGTTATATGTTTGTCTATGGACAAGCACTATCATACCTTGGCTTCTGTTTGTACTTTTCTGGTAGATGCTTTGGACTCCTAACTTTACCACAGGGGTGTTCTTAGCTGCTCTCTGTACTCAGTTGTGATGATAGTCTTCATTGAGTTAGCATTTTTTTTGTTACCTTAGATAGAAGATTATTAACAGCTTCTATTTTGCTACTTTCAGGGAGCTGCTTTAGCAAGATATCCTGGTGCTTTGCACATTCAACCAAACATTGACTTGTAAGTGATCATTCTACTATTCATCTGTTAGAGTTCCACTCGCCTTCAAGTTGCTTGATTGACTTGAGAATTCAAAACAGTCTACATGTTCAATTCATTATATTGCTTGAAATGAAAGCTTTATGTATCTATCATCTATATGTCATTCTTCGTGTGCATATATCATCTTTTTCTCAAGGAAAGATATTAAAAAAATGATTTTATCTTCCGCCTATTCATCTGTTTAAAATCTTGTACTGGGTGGTTTATTTTATCTGCATTTATGCTACTATAGCAATTCTCTCTTGGACACCCCCACCTCTAAAAAAGGACTATGAAATTTTGAACGTCCTAAAAGAGCACTTGTTGGCTTGTTGCAGAAATGACTATGACGCACTGCTTGCACTGGATGAAAATAACCACCAGCACGCTGGTGCTTCAGAAAGCCAGATCAATAATTTGCCGCAGTCAGTAGTTCAGGTACCTTCCAAACTGGTATAAGTTTTTTTCCTTTCCTCCTTGACTAAAAAATCCTAACTACTTTCCCGTGATTTCCTGTTTCCGACAGTCCAATAGCATTGAAGATCCATGTTGATTGTTATGTTTCAATCACTTTCGCTGAATTTTATCGTGTTTCTGATGCATCATCTCTTTCCCAGGTTGCCTCATCCACCGAATGCCTGTTCCACTGAACCTTACACATTTTTATAATTCTGCTCCTTGTGATTCTCTCAGCTGTTTCTAAGATTCTCACTAGATATTCTTTGTACGATAGATCCTCTTGGATATCCAGTTTCCTCAGGCATTCTCAAACATTTCTTAAGCTGCGATACATGGAAAACATCATGAACACCTGAGAGCTGTTCCGGTAATTTCAGCTGGTAAGCAACTTCTTCTCTCCTGTTGATGATCTTGAAGGGTCCCACATACCTGGGTGACAACTTTCCATTAGTATGGAACCTCTTAACTCCTCTCATAGGTGAAACTTTGAGATAAACAAAATCTCCAATCTCAAACACCAAATCCCTCCTTCTCGTGTCAGTATAGCTCTTCTGTCGAGACTGTGCAACCTTCAAGTTTGGCCTTATTGTTTGTACCTGTTTCTCCGCCTGTTGCAAGACTTCTGGTCCAAAGACTTGACTTTCCACCGTTTGATTCCAAAACAGTGGTGTTCTACACTTTCTGCCATACAACACTTCAAATGGTGCCATCTTAAGACTTTTATGGTAGCTATTGTTATAAGAGAATTCAGCATAGGGCAAACTCTAATCCCAACTTGTCCCGTACTGTAGAGCACAAGCTCTCAACATATCCTCTAAAATCTGATTTGTTCTCTCGGTCTGCCCATCTGTCTGAGGATGATAAGCTGAGCTAAAGTTCAACTTCGTGTCCATGGACTCGTGCAACTTCTGCCAAAAATGAGATGTGAACTGTGTACCCCTGTCTAAAACAATCTTCTTTGATACTCCATATAAACATACAATCATTTCCATGTATAGCTCTGCCAACTTCGCACCGGAGTAAGTTGTCTTGACAGGAATGAAATGTGCTACTTTTGTCAGACGGTCTACGATTACTCAAATAGTCATATCCCCTCTGTGTATGGGGTAATCCCACTATGAAATTTATTCCAACTTCTTTCCATTTTCACTCGGGTATCTTCATGGGTTGAAGTAAACCTGCTGGCCTCTAATGCTCTACCTTTACCCTTTGGCACGTATCACATATGGCCACATGTTCAGCTACATCTCTTTTTAGTCCATACCACCAATATCTCTCTTTAAGATCAAGATACATTTTAGTACTCCCGGATGTATAGAATAGGCCAAGTCATGAGTTTCCCTCAAATTAGACTCTCTAATAGACATCATTTCTGGCACACAAATTCTTTTACCAAACCATACTGTTCCTTGTTCATCCATGTGGAAATCTGGGGCTTTATCAATCACTATACGTTCAACAATATCTTTGATCTTCTCATCATTCAACTGTCCCTTATGAATCTCTCGTTCTAAAGTAGGTTCTACCTCTAATTCCATAGTGTTAGCCACAATACCCAAATTCAGGTGTTTGAACTTCTCACACAACTCTCTAGGTAATTGAGTTGTATAGGCCATGTTAACATAACTCTTCCTACTCAAAGCATCTGCTACAACGTTAGCCTTTCCCAGGTGATAGTGTATTTTCATTCCCATGGTTCTGCATATTCTGAGCCATCTGCTGCAACAACCGGGTTTGCATCATCATCAATTGCTCTAGGGTAACAGGGGGTGGCGGCGGCAAGTCTTGTCCTCCTTGGTTGTTCCTCCTAATGTTCACCATTTGTAGATACATCATATAAGTCTCATATGTCCAAAATATATAACCTTTAAGATATAATGACCTAATGAGAGTAGGTATCACAAGATCAAAGATAAGATATATATAGAGAGAGAGGGTATACAAGAAGATAATTGTTCTGAACTTTTTCGGCGAGTTGAACAGACAGCAGTGCAGTAAAATGAGCATATCTCACTTTGTTTATCATCTAAATACGAATTTACCTTTCTGAAAAGTTTATGAAATTATCTACAACTTTCATTTAGAACACATTTTCAGATTCTAACGTTTAATCAGGCAAAAACAGACGACAAGCAGTACTGCTCTAGATTTCTGACAGCACAGAAACATCAATTTACAACAGTTGTATCTCACAATTCGTAATAGGTATTGAGGTGATTCCAGAGTCAAAAGAAAGATGCAAAAGTCTACTTATCTCCATAAAATTTTCATGACCATTAAACATCTAGAAAATGAGATATAAATTGATAAAGGTGGACTGCTCAGAATGATACAGAATGGACAGCAAGATAAAAAGAAGCCTAACTATTTATTCATATCATCCTTAAGCCTTAATCATAAACTAAATGACTGGTCATGCCTACAAGTCATCACAATCATGACAAAAATCCAAATCAAACATTATCCATCATGACAATCATCCAACCACTCAAATAACAATTGTTCAACCATTGAGAAGAAAAGAAACTAACACACTCTCGTACATCTATGTGTGTTTATTATATTTTTTTTGGAAAATCCTCCTATGGGTCGATGTTGGTGCTGGTGTTGGGGTCTCCAAAGCCTCCTCTATTCCTTGGGACGATTCAGCAGGAATACCTGGAGTCTCCACATCAGGACCTCCTTACTGCTGCTTCAACGTAGCATTCTCAAGGGCAAGCTGCAGGTATGCCTTCCCCATAACATCTAGCTCATCCAAGGCTTGATCCAAGTCGGTGTTGGTCTGGGCCAAGCTCATCAAGGTAGGCCTAAGCCTATGGTTCTCCTCCCCAAGTGGTGCGGCGATGTTGCAGGTGGACTGGCCGCTCCGACGACGGGGAAGATAACGATCCTCCTCCCATTTGATGTCGTCGAAGTGGCGGTCGTGATTGACCACCAACGCCTGTCGAGCAACATCCCGGATGGTGGCTGCACGTGTGAGCCATGCAGTGATAGCACGGTGGATGTAGCGCACCCGACTCCCTTCATGGGCGTACACCTCTGTCTCCCAGAAGCCGGTGTAGTCGGGGTGGGTCCAATCCTCCGTTCTGTACTGCACGGTGCACTTGGTGTGGTAGCGGCATACAAGGGAAAGAAGCTTTGGGTGGTAGCAGGCATCACCCTACAAATCATAGTGGATCTCCGCGGTCCACCCCTTAGCCAACAGTGCGGCATGGTAGTCATCACCATCACCACCACCATCTCCACCATCTCCATCAACATGATGCCGCACTGTTGGCTAAGGGGTGGACCGCGGAGATCCACTATGATTTGCAGGGCGATGCCTACTACCACCCAAAGCTTCTCTCCCTTGTATGCCGCTACCACACCAGTTGCACCGTGCAGTACCGGACAGAGCATTGGACCCACCCCGACTACACCGGCTTCTGGGAGACAGAGGTGTACATTCCCAAAGGGAGTCGGGTGTGCTACATCCACCGTGCTATCACTGCACGGCTCACGTGCAGCCGCCATCCGGGATGCTGCTCGACAGGCGTTGGTGGTCAATCGCGACCGCCATTTTGACGACATCAAATGGGAGGAGGATCGTTATCTTCCTCGTCGTCGGAGCGGCCGATCCACCTGCAACATCGCTGCACCACTTGGGGAGGAGAATCATAGGCTTAGGCCTACCCTGATGAGCTTGCCCAGACCAACACTAACTTGGATCAAACCTTGGATGAGCTAGATGTCATGGCGAAGGCATACTTGCAGCCTGCCCTTGAGAATGCTACATTGAAGCAGTAGCAAGGTGGTCCTGATGTGGAGACGCCACGAATTCCTCCTGAATCGCCCCCAAGGAACAGAGGAGACTATGGAGACCCCAACACCAGCACCAACATCGACCCATAGGAGGATTTCCTCAAAATATGTAATAAACACGCATATATATATGCGAGAGTGTGTTAGTTTTTTTTCTTTTCAATGGTTGAACAATTGTTACTTGAGTGGTTGGATGATTGTCATGATGGATAATGTTTGATTTGGATTTTTGTCATGATTGAGATGACTTGTGGGCATGTCCACAGTCATTTAGTTTAAGATTAAGGCCTAAGGACGATATGAATAAATAGTTGGGTTTCTTTTTATCTTGCTGTCCATTCGGTATCATTCTGAGCAGTCCATCTTTATTAGTTCATATCTCATGTTCTAGATGTCCAATGGTCATGAAAATTTTATGGAGATAAGTAGACTTCTACATTTTTCTTTTGGCTCTAAAATCACCTCAATACCTGTTATGAATTGTGAGATACAACTGTTATAAGTTGATGTTTCTATGCTGTCAGAAATCTAGAGTAGTACTGCTTGTCGTCTGTTTTTGCCTGATTAAACGTTAGAATCTAAAAATATGTTCTAAATGAAGGTTGTAGATAATTTCATAAGCTTTCCAGAAAGGTAAAATTTGCATTCAGATGATAAATAGAGAGTGAGATATGCTCATTTTACTGCACTGCTGTTTGTCCAAATCGCTGAAAAGTTAAGAACAATTATCTTCTTGTATACCCTATATATATCTCTTGTCTTTGATCTTGTGATATCTACTCTTATTAGGCCATTATCTCTTATAAAGGTTATAAATTTTGGACATATGGGACTTATATGAAGTATCTACAGATGGTGAACACTAGGAGGAACAACCAAGGAGGCAAGGACTTGCCGCTGCCACCCCCATCACCATGGAGCAACTGATGATGATGCAAACTCAATTGCTTCGACAGATGGCTCAGAGCATGCAGAATAATGGGAATGGGAATGCACCCTCTCAAGTTAGGGACAAGAGGGGAGAGTTTCTAAAGGGACATCCGCGTATTTTGAAACATTCCACTGACCCACTTCAAGTTGATGATTGACTGCGTGCAATTGAGAGGCAACTTGAGATTGCACAGTGTGATGACAAAGAGAAGGTTTTGTATGCTTGTTGACAGCTGCAAGGGGATGCACTTGACTGGTGGGACTCTTTC